GGTCCACAACCTTGATATACCATATTTTTACGCAATTTGAGAACGAGGGGCAGCCATTTTGTCTGTCAGTTTTGGGCCGATTTTCACGAAATTCGAACTCAGTCGTCCTTAGGATGTAACGGTGATATAATAATACATTTTTTTAAATCGGATAAAATTTATGACCTCTATAGGGTCCACAAGCTAAAAACGCGATTTTTCGTACAATCAGGGGCCATAATTCAGTAAGTTACTGTCCGATATGCGCGAATATTGAAAGGAACCAAGATCTTTGAGTTATAAACTTACATTTCAAGTTTCAACAAAATCGGATAAAAATTGTGACCTCTATAGGGTCCACAACCTTGATATACCATATTTTTACGTTATTTGAGAACGAACGGCGGCCATTTTGTCTGTCAGTTTTGGGCCGATTTTCACGAAATTCGAACTCAACTGTCCTTTGGGTGTAACGGTTATATATTAACCCGTTTTTTTTAAATCGGATAAAAATTATGACCTCTATAGGGTCCACAAGCCCAAAAACACGCTTTTGCGTACAATCAGGGGCCATAATTCATGAAGTTACGGTCCGATATGCGTGAATATCGAAAGGAACCAAGATCTTTGTGTTATAAACTTACATTTCAAGTTTCAACCAAATCGGATAAAAATTGTGACCTCTATATGGTCCACAACCTTGATATACCATATTTATACGCTATTTGAGAACAAACGGCGGCCATTTTGTCTGTCAGTTTTGGGCCGATTTTCACGAAATTCGAACTCAACCGTCCTTAGGGTGCAACGGTTATATATTAACACGTTTTTTTAAATCGGATAAAAATTATAACCTCTATACGGTCCACAACCTTGATATACCATATTTTTACGCTATTTGAGAATGAAGGACGGCCATTTTGTCTGTCAATTTTTGTCCGATTTTCACGAAATTGGAACTCAGCCGTCCTTAGGGTGTAACGGTGATATAATAATACGTTTTTTTAAATCGGATAAAAATTATGACTTCTATAGGGTCCACAAGCTAAAAACGTGATTTTTTGTACAATCAGGGGCCATAATTCATGAAGTTACGGTCCGATATGCGCGAATATCAAAAGGAACCAAGATCTTTGTGTTATAAACTTACATTTCAAGTTTCAACAAAATCGGATAAAAATTGTGACCTCTATAGGGTCCACAACCTTGATATACCATATTTTTACGCTATTTGAGCACGAACGGCGGCCATTTTGTCTGTCAGTTTTGGGCCGATTTTCACGAAATTCGAACTCAACCGTCCTTAGGATTTAACGGTGATATATTAATACAGTTTTTTAAATCGGATAAAAATTATGACCTCTATAGGGTACACAAGCCAAAAAACACGTTTTTGCGTACAATCAGGGGCCATAATTCAGGAAGTTACAGTACGATATGCGTGAATATCGAAAGGAACCAAGATCTTTGGGTTATAAACTTACATATTAAGTTTCAACAAAAGCGGATAAAAATTGTGACCTCTACAGGGTCCACAACCTTGATATACCATATTTATACGCTATTTGAGAACGAACGGCGGCCATTTTGTCTGTCAGTTTTGGGCCGATTTTCACGAAATTCGAACTCAACCGTCCTTAGGGTGCAACGGTTATATATTAACACGTTTTTTTAAATCGGATAAAAATTATAACCTCTATACGGTCCACAACCTTGATATACCATATTTTTACGCTATTTGAGAATGAAGGACGGCCATTTTGTCTGTCAATTTTTGTCCGATTTTCACGAAATTGGAACTCAGCCGTCCTTAGGGTGTAACGGTGATATAATAATACGGTTTTTTAAATCGGATAAAAATTATGACTTCTATAGGGTCCACAAGCTAAAAACGTGATTTTTTGTACAATCAGGGGCCATAATTCATGAAGTTACGGTCCGATATGCGCGAATATCAAAAGGAACCAAGATCTTTGTGTTATAAACTTACATTTCAAGTTTCAACAAAATCGGATAAAAATTGTGACCTCTATAGGGTCCACAACCTTGATATACCATATTTTTACGCTATTTGAGCACGAACGGCGGCCATTTTGTCTGTCAGTTTTGGGCCGATTTTCACGAAATTCGAACTCAACCGTCCTTAGGATTTAACGGTGATATATTAATACAGTTTTTTAAATCGGATAAAAATTATGACCTCTATAGGGTACACAAGCCAAAAAACACGTTTTTGCGTACAATCAGGGGCCATAATTCAGGAAGTTACAGTACGATATGCGTGAATATCGAAAGGAACCAAGATCTTTGGGTTATAAACTTACATATTAAGTTTCAACAAAAGCGGATAAAAATTGTGACCTCTACAGTGTTCACAAGCCAAAAACGTGATTTTTCGTACAATCAGGGGCCATAATCCATGAAGTTATGGTCCAATAGATGCCAATATCGAAAGGAACCGAGATCTTAGGGTGATAAACCTATATTTCAAGTTTCATTGAAATCGGATAAAAATTGTGACCTGTAGACTGTTCACAAACAATTGTGGACTGACGGACAGGGGCGACGACAATATACGTCCACATGAAAATGTGGGCGTATAAAAAGATGACACATATTGATTAATTGCACTTTATCTTTTCAAAAGTATTATGCAATCAAACTGATTATCTATACTTAGTCTAAGCAGGAAATGTTCACGATAAAACTCAGTCAAGGTTTTGAGGTACCTGGTAGTGAAACTATGCACTAAGTTTCATCACTCTCCATCAGTTAGAATCAAAGTTATCTTGTCCCAAAGTATCGACCAATGAAATTGCTTAGCTCTGCTTAGCTTTAGTGAGAAATGTTAAATCATTGAACTTGGTCATTGAACTCGGTCATTGAACTCAGTAATGAACATTTACATCAAGTTTAAACATTCTACCTCAATTAAAAGCAGAGTTGTTATGTTCCATAGTCTTGACATATCAAACTGCTTATCGCTACTTAGTCTAACTAAGAAGAAAATTCTCATTATCGAACTTAATCAAGTTATTGATGTAAAGAAACTATACACCAAGTTTCATCACTCTCGCCGAATTAGAACTAAAGTCATCATGCCCCAAAGCATCAACCAATCAAATCGCTTATCTCTGCTTACCCTAAGCACAAAATGCCCATGTTCAAACTCCATCAAGGTATTCACCTAATAAACATCTACACCAAGTTTGAACATTCTACCTCAATTAGAAGCAGAGTTATTGTGTCCCAAAATGTGTGAAGGACGTCCGGACAGATGGACAGAAGACAAACTTATTTTAATAGTCCCTTGCTTTCTTTGAAAGCCAGGGGACAATAATGGAAGTATATTTGACAACCATGATATAAAAATTATGGTTAGCATATGGTAACAATAGAGAGAGAGAGAGAGAGAGAGAGAGAAATCGGGTTTAACACCCACTCAACAAAAACTAGGTCATTTTGGGACTAAGATATGGATCAATTCTATATCATATCAACAATTGTCTAGCACGTAGGGGTCTATATAGCAGTGAAGGGAAACCAGAGGACCTGGAGAAAACCCACGAGGTTGGACAGACGACCCTACTCCTTGTCACTTACAAGGAGGGAGCTGAAACCATGCCACTTGACTCAATGGCAGATCTTATGATTAACCATGCACACGTTAACCATTCGACAACCCATTTCCCAATGGTTTCAAAGATTAAGTGACATTTAACTGTCGTTTTTGGGACAAAGTGTATTATATTTGTGATGTTTTAGTAACTAACTGAACCACTTTTTCTGTGTCAACTTTCGATTGACTAACAATCGCTTAAACTAGCAATCAATAAGCTGTCAACAAATACATGTAAAAACGAAGTAACTCAAGCAATAAACATTTTTGCATAAAAGAATATGAGGGAGAACAGAAAGTTAACGGATTGGCCTGTAGATGACAGTTAAGATTTAAAACTTGTGCATTGTTAAAGCAGTGTCGAGTGTAAATTATCAACACTGGAAAGACAAAGAGTATGTTTCCATGAACTAACTTTTATAAATATCACAAATTTAGAAAGATTAGACAAGCAAGTACATATGGTGGTACTGTCATATTCGGACAGATGATAATACATTTTACAAATCTTGATATTATTTTTTTATGGTTTTATCTTATTTTGAAAATCTAAGACATGCAGCAAGTTTTAGTCTCAAAATATCTGATCCATCGCAACAATGTGATCAGCACGTGTCTCCTGCTCTATATAATCCCCTCTTCCCACCCTTCTTCACTATAGCCAAATAAATGCACAACCTCACATATACATGTAGCTACAACTTTCTTATCATAGTTTTAACAAATTGTGAAATTAATCAGCAACGGGTATAGGTAACAGCAAAATAGATAGAAAGCTGCACACAGCGATGTATCTACTTCATACCTTGAGAATACATCACTGCGCTACATGCCGTCCATTTTAAACGCTCACATGATCATTTTTGGGCGGGACTTATCGACTTGTAAGGTCAATGACGTATATATACTGCTATTTATACCCAAAGCATGTGTTTTATGTAAACAAATATGTCAAGTTGGCAAAATGTTGACTTCTGCTACTCCAGTAAAGGCGATATATAATATGTGCCAATGGGTGATATTGCAATACAGTTTTTATCATTGTAAACTGCCTTTAGAGTTTTCATCTGTTTATCTTTCAAAACAAGGTTAGGTACTCCTTTTTTGTCTTCGCCAACAAAGCCGCTTCTGTGAACGTATCTTTCATGGACGCCGCCATATTGCATAATTAGTGGACTATTTCGTGCTTTGGCTCTAATTGACATCTTTCATACACACAACGGCTAAATAAACATATTAATTTTCATTCAATATGAAAATAGAAGAGAAATAAATACTTTTAAAAATTTCTAAACGCATACTCAGTGTTTTCGACTAAAATCGTGGATGTAGGAATCAAAATGACTGTTAATTAGGTTAGGGCCTGTTATCAGATGGAGCAGTAATAAGTGTCATAACTCACCCACAATTAATTAGAGCCAAGGTTCCTTTCCCACGAATTTCATTGGCTACATCTTGAAAAACTGTCATAGATTTAGACACTGATTTATCTGTAGAACAAAAATTATAACATTAATGAAATTTCATAAACATCAAGAATACTGAATTTAAAGGAGATACGTTTAACCCTCTTTGCTTTTGTAGCAGGTCAATTGTGTGTGTTCTTTCTATTAGTTGAATAACTGATATTATTAGTACAGTAAAACATGCATTATGCAAGAGATAAATCTGCATATTGCAGGTTTTTTTTAGGCCTGAGATGTTATATAACCATAATCAACTCTCGATTCCATCTTATCTGTCCGATTTTCAATGGATTTGGATCCCACCTGCTGTTCAACGTCTGTTGATGATTAAACGCAAAGATAGGTTGCCAGGCAAGAAAACATACACCCACAGCAGTAAATTGTTTTACTAATTTAAATAATGCATATAAATTTCATACAGATCAGATGATAACTTTTGTCATTCTAAGGTTCACAAAGTAAAAATAATTGATGAAAATTGCTGAAATTCAATGATGCATATAAATTTCATACATATCGGAAGATAACTTTCATCAATCGAGCATTAACATGGTTGAACAAAGTGATACAAGGGCCATAACTCTAGAAGTAATTATTGTAAATTGGAAATTCCTGAAATTCAATAGGTTTCTTCGTTTCACTAATTCAAATAACGCATATAAATTTCTCAAAGATCGGAGTGTTTACAAGGTTCAACAAAGTGAAACAAGGGCCATAACTCTAGACATAATAAACAGAAATTATTGAAATTAAATAGGATTCTTAATCTCACTAATGTAAACAACACATATCAATTTTAAAACAACTGGATAATAACTTTTGGCGTTAGAGCGTTCACAAGAAATTGTGGACGATGGGCGGACGGCAATATATATTTCCATGTGGGCGTATGAAAATGGATAATCAAGACTTTGTTACGTATTGTGACAGCGCTAACAATGACAATTGAGGCTACAAAGATTTTAAAATAAAGTTTTCTCGGCTTAAGCAATTTGACAGAAATTTTCAGTATATTCCCTTTACATCATCTCCATGTGGGCGTATGAAAATGGATAATCAAGACTTTGTTACGTATTGTGACAACGCTAACAATGACAATTGAGGCTACAAAGATTTTAAAATAAAGTTTTCTCGGCTTAAGCAATTTGACAGAAATTTTCAGTATATTCCCTTTACATCATCTAGTTTTTAACTATTATAGTGAGAAGTGCCAGCTCTTTATCTAATCTCCCATAACGTATCTTTAAGGAACTGATCTTATAAAATGAGCTGGTTGAATTAATTTGTATGATTATCTCGGGCTGGAAAATATCTGAAATTTTCATTATGTGATAACGATATATAAAATCCACATTGTTTTGCATTTATTACAATGACAACAGTACTCAATCCAGGATACTTAAATAAAGGATGGTAATCCCCTGAAATTACAATCTCCTAGTTCCCTTCCTTCTTATTTTTCAATTCAATCACTATCTTAATAATAACACCCAATTCTAGTATAATTAACATTTCACTACTGGTGTGCAGGAAAATAAAATTAAAATGTCTACTAGTTTAAAAGATAGGTTGCCAGGCAACAAAACATACGCTCACAGCAGCTAAATCGTCCGAGCAGTCGACAAGGGTTGTCACATATTTATTCTTTTGCAGGTAATTAGGGGAATTTAATAGACAATTTCATACAGATGACATTATAATTTTCATTCTTTGAAGGTTCACAAGGTTCTAAAAACTAAAACAAGGGCCGTAACTCTGGAAGCTATCTACAGAAATTGTTCAAATTCGTCAGGCTTTTTTCGTTTTACTAATTCAAATAATGCATATAAATTTCATACAGATCGGATGATAACTTTTGTTGTTCGAAAGTTCACCAAAGTAAATCAAGGGCCATAACTCTTGACGTAATTGACGAAAATTGCTGACATTCAATAGGCTTGTTACTGAAACTCAATAGGCTTGTTCGTTTTACTAATTTAAATGATACGACATATAAATTTCATACAGATCGGATAATAACTTTTGTCTTTAGAGCATTTACAAGGTAGAACTAAGTGAAACAAGGGCCATAACTCACTGCGTAATTAACGGAAATTGATGAAGTTCAATAGGCTTCTTTATTTCACTAATCTAAATGATGCATATCAATTTCATACAGATCGGTTGATAACTTTTGTCATTAGAGCATTCACAGGATTCAACAAAGTGAAACATGGGCCATAACTCTAGATGTAATTAATGGAAATTGCTGAAATTCAATAGGCTTCTTTGTTTTCCTAATTTAAATGATGCATATAAATTTCATACAGATCGGTTGATAACTTTTGTCGTTCATAAGGTGCAACAAAGTGAAACAAGGGTCATAACTCCAAAAGAAATTAACGGAAGTTATTGAAATTAAATAGGCTTCTTCATCTCACTAATGCAAACAACATATATCAATTTCAAAACAATCGGTTGATAAATGTAGTCAGTAGAGTGTTCACAAGAAATTGTGGACGATGGACGGACCGACGGCTGGAGCCGACCGCAATATACGACCACATAAAAACCAGCAGTTGCCAGGCATGACACGTCCACATTTTGCAAGAGATGGATAGGGAACAAGCTAAAAAAAAATACGTGATTTTTCGTACAACCAGGGGCCATAATAAAAGAAGTTATGGTCTGATATGTGCAAATATCGAAAAAGCCGAGATCTTTGGGATATAAAGATATATTTTAAGTTTCATCAAAATCAGACAAAAATTGTAACTTCTAGAGTGTCCACAACCTTGGTATTACATACTTTTACACTATTTGCATACAAGGAGTGCCCATTTTGTCAGGCAGTTTTGGTCAGATTTTTACGAAATTCGAACTCAACTTTCATTGATGTGGAACGGTGATATGTTTAAATAAACTTTTTTAAAATTTGAATACAAATCAGGGGCAATAATCCAGGAAGTTACGTTCAGATATGCGCGATTATCGAAAGGAACCAAGAACTTTTGGATATAAACATACATTTAAAGTTTCATCAAAATCCGATGAAAATTGTTACCTCTAGAGTGTCCACAAGCTAAAAACGTAATTTTTTATACAATCATGGGACAGACAGGGGGGGGTGAACATTTGTTTTAAAACTAGACTTAGAAAGAAAGAAAGAAATATTGTTTAAAAAAACTGGACTTGACATTTTATTTTTATTTCCCTGTACACCAATATAGTGAAATATCAATAATAATAGAATTGGGTGTTATCATTAGAATAGGTGAAATCTGTGACTAGATTTTACATGCTGTCATCTGTCAAGTGGAATAAAATGTCCACTTACGGAATGAAATAGGGTTTAACATTCTACTGTTCTGCTCCGACTGGGCTAATTAAGACGGACATACGCCATACAGTGTGCTATGAGGGAAATTTTGAAGAGATAGTTGCGCTATGGCCTACTCTTATATCGAATTCCAATTGCCAGGGGATTTTTTACATGCACGCTAATGTGTACACGGGATTTATGTTTCCATCCCATCTGAACAACTAGACAGCTATCCTTAGTCAGGCCCTACGTCCTGCACCACTAACAAAAAGACACCACGGCGGAAAATCCGAATGAACTTTCTCGGCCAATGCAGGTCCACTTAGGATTAAGATAATCATGTATATTAGGTAGTCCTTCAAAATAAGTGTATATAGTGTAATTATTTTGATCAACTAAGTAATTCTATAACCAAAGATAATTGATGAGATAAATATAGGTCTACTGTCAGTACTACCAACAGTTTTGGAATTGCGACCAACATGGCAACAATAATTTTGCTATCTATTTCATACAAGACAGTCCATTCTTCATGATGGTTAAAGCCTACTTGATTACATAATAATAGTCTTTATATTACAATAGTACATACATGTACATGCACTATTGTTTTTTGAAGTAAAGGTATGTGTACAATCTGGCTTTAAATTTATTTGTTATAATATAATGTAGCACCATGGGTCGTCTGTCAAGACGTGGAAAGCGGGCCACGCACTAAAACCGGTCGCCACAGCTGGCGTATAACCTATGCAGCGTTTCTTACTACATATTTTGGAACAGCCCTTGATCGTCTAGTATTTATAATTCTTTAACTGGTTAGGACGTATCTTTAAATGTCACTCTGACAAATCACATTAATGACAGCTTCACATTGTGATTGAATATATTGCATCTTAAATAGTATGATTAACAGGATCAACAAATACAAAAGTTTCTTGAATATAGTTTTATATTAAGCTCTGGTATATAGGATACAAGCATAGATCATAATAGAGTCATTCTCTCTATTAGTAAGTGCAGGGGGACTGCACCACACAAAATTTACACAAAAACAAATACACGGACAGGACATCATACTCAGGAAAACACAAACATACAGACAATCCAAAAAAAATTGAATGGATCCGAGGGCTACCCTATCCCTCAAATCAGATATTGACACTTGGACCTCAACAGTCTCTCCTACATGTATCTAATTTCTACATGGTGTTTCCTCTCTCAAATCTACCTGGTGTCTACACTAGAGCGCACATTCTATTAATTATATACTCTCAGATTCCCAGCCATTAATTATTCTATTGGCTAATTATGATGTAATTAATCATGTGATTGGTCAATCATGTCAAATATGGAATGGTAACTTTCTTATCACATGCTTTTAGACATAGAATTTATCCTTGGCCTTAGACCCATTTTCCTGTTATTCTCACAATATTTCATATACAATTTAATTTGTGTTTTAAGCAAACTTATACCATAGCTAATATACTGGCAATGGAGAATACAAATAAATTGAAACATATATATTTATCAAATTATAACCTGGTGCACTTATATTCATCTAATACAATTTTGCATAAATTATCAAATAGTATTACAATAACTGACAACTATATTCCCAGTTATTACCATGCTGGGGCTCTATAATGAAAAAAACATGGACATACAGGTAGGTCTACTTATAAAATGGAAATACTCGTCATAGAGAGAGAGAGAGAGAGAAATGGGGTTTAACGTCCACTCGACTCAAACTAGGTCATTTCGGGACTAACATATGGTTTAATTTTATGTCAATAATTCGCTTGCGTGTAGGGGTCTTTAGCAGTGGGAGGAAACCGGAGACACTCATCATAATTAGGTTTTATAATTCTTTAATGTTAAAAATATGATCACCAATTAAATATGGTTAGCGTTACATACCTGACTGAGCATATATAACTAAAAGATTGGTTTTTGTTTTGAGTAGTTTCTTAAAATCTTTAAAATCATCAACTTTAATAATCAGATCATTTTTCTTCTTATTAGCTTCCAGCTGACAGGGTATTAAAACCTGAAATATACAATATAAATCTTTATTTACATAATAAACTAAATTTTATAAGTACATGTAGTTGGTGTAAACAATAGAGTTTATGTGTTTCAAGTAAACATAAATGTACTTCTAACCCGAGTAAACAGATGTGTAAGATAACACTCAAATATCACATGCAAATTTCTCTTTTTATAAAGCATCTTGCAATCATTTTTTATCATTCTTCTTTCACCTAGTACTTCAAGTTAGTCAAGGTACTGATGTAAGGAAACTATTTGAAGCATTGTATTATTGTGTTCCAAAATATCTGGACAGACAGACAGATGGACATGCTCAGTCAGGCAAAACAAGGTCATCACCAAACACAGTCAAGATATTCACCTAGAATACATGTACATCATGTATGTATCTACACTTAATTTGAACATTCTACCTGAATTAGAAGCATAGTTTTTGTATTTCAAAATCTCTACCAATGGCTTTGTTTATCACTGCTTAGCCTTTGCAGAAAATGCTCAGCATCAAACTCAGTCAGACCATTCACCAAATGAACAATTACATCAATTTTGAACATTCTAGACCTCATTTTATTAGAAGCATAGTTATTGTGTCCCATAAAGTGTGACAGACAAACACAATTTAAAGATGCATTATGTAAGTGCTAAATCTGTCTAATGCAGATCTATCATTTGGCCTAAAATGTTATATAAATCATTAATTAGACATTTATTCACATGTCAAGCCCATAACCAATGCTCTAGACCATCAGATGCTTTTGATTTTCAACGGATTTGAACATGATTGCTAGTTGATGATTTAATCAAACAAGCAGTTGTCATGTAAGATACGTCCATATTTTGAAAGAGCTGGACAGAAAACAAACTAAAAAAAAAAGGTCTTTCGTACAATCAGGGGACATACCAGGATGTTATGGTCCAATATGCACGAATATCAAAAGGAATCAAAATCTTACATAAACATATATTTAAAGTTTCATCAAAATCAGATAAAAAATCTGACCTCTAGAGGGTCCACAACCTTGGTATTACATACGGTACACTGTACTTTTAAATTATTTGCGTACATGGAGCGGCCCTTTTGTCGTGCAGTTTCGATCTGATTTTCACGTAATTCAAACTCAATCATCATTATGTTGTAACGGTGACACATTAGAGCGTTTATTTTAAATGAGATAATAATTGTGACATTTAAGGGGAACACAAGCTAAAAACATGATTTTTCGTACAATCAGGGGGCCATAATCCAGGAAGTTACTGTCCAATAAATGCCAATATCGAAAGGAACCAAGATCTTTGGGACATAAACCAATATTTCAAGTTTTGTCAAAATCGGATAAAAATTGTGACCTGTGGAGTGTCAACAAACAAATTGTGGACGGACGGACCGACAGGGGCGACGACAATATAAATTCAGTTTAAATCACTATTATTTACTAATTAACAGAGTAAGTATCTACTGGTTATGACTAGTTTAGGTCAGTGTCCAATTCACAATTAATTGCTACTTTTTAAATGTTTCAACTGTAAAAAGATTCAATATCTGAAGGTGTTCGGTCAATTAAATTGTTACAATTGATGGATCATACAAGTAGCAATATACTAACATTGGTATGTAAACAAGATAGTGTCAATCAACAAATGAACAGTAGGCCTACTTAACTCATATGAGGTACACAACAAGTAAAAACAGAAATATCTTGGGGGCATATTGAATATTTATAAATGATTTGAAAATAATATATTAACAACCAACTTTTCAGAATACAGGATATCTTGCCATAACATAATAAGTAAAATATCTAAGAACATTTTGACTTGGTTTTTTTTTTATGAAATATGTTAATGAATACAAATGAAATGGAATGGGGATTTAACATCCTACTTTCTGCACCACCTGGGATAATGAAAAAGGGCATACACCATACAGTGTGCTGTGAGGGAAATTCTAACCGGACAGTGGTGCTACGGCCTACTTTTATTTCAAATTCTAACTGCCAAGGGATCTTTTACGTGCATTCCAATGTATACACAGGACCTTGGCTTTCATATCATTCGAAGGACTAGACAGCTGTCCTTGTCAGGCCCTCCGTCCTACATCACTGACAAGGGGGAACCACGCCGGAAAATCTGGATGAACTTTCTCGGCCAATGCAGGGATCGAACACCCGACCTCCAGGCCAGCGAGCCAGCGTCTTACCCACTTAGCCACGTGATCCCCCCTGTAACAAGGGACTCGAAGAACAAGGCTAGACATATTCAACAAATGTTGTCAAACGGTGACGTAATATTCTAATCTGGAGAGCAATGGCAAGAAATACTATCGGTGTAGACTGGAATAATTGAATGTAAATCAGTTTATATACATTCATGCGTTTTGACCCATTTGTGTCAATTACTATCAGCGATTTAGCACCTTTATGAATAATTTCAACAGTTTAACTATAGCTAATAATTTCAGTTTAGAAGAGATAGAAACTGCTATGCATCATTTATTTTTAGATGTTGATAGAAACCAAAATATAACAAATGCAGAATTGACTTTGTGAAGTAAGCATGTATGTTGGCAATACAATGTTGCTAGTTTCCTTTTGCTAACATATTATCAATGTATTGAATATTTTTTGTATTATGATTATTTTCTGTTTCAATATTTTGTATTTATACCTGACTTGATTTTATTGCACAGGAAAGCATCAAAATTTACATGTACATGTATGTATGTGGTGGGCCATGGTCCAAAATAATGTTTAAGAAAACTTACACACATTACTATCAAGGGATATCTATTATGTAACCTGTAGGATTTTTACAAATACAAGTTTTTAACAATTAATTGAGCATTAATTAAATAGAAACTCCTGTTGCCCATTTAATGATTGTGACGATTTTAAACAAGCTCAACTTTGTCTTCGTAACAGTACAAGACATACATGTACTATCAAGGTATGATAGATCGATTGATGTCATGTGAAAGCTGCTACACTAATTCTTTATATGACAACAATAGGGCCTACACATTTTCTACTCTGCTCAATCAATACATTTACTTTGCTATTTCATACCTCATGTACTACAGCAATCTGTTACATTTAACAGCAACATAAACCAAAGAAATTTTCAATTTGCTAATACTAATAGACTTAGCGAGGGAGGGAAATGGGGTTTAACGATAGTCTTCTTCATTTCACTAATTTAAAGGATGCATTTTAATTTCATACAAATCGGATGACAATTTGTTCACAAAGTGCAATAAAGTGAAACAAGGGCCGTAACTTCAGAAGAAATTAACGGAAATTATTGAAATTATATAGGCTTCTTCATCTCGGTAATATTAACAACATATATCAATTTCAAAACAATCAAATTATAAATGTAGTCCGTAGAGTGTTCACAAGAAAGTGTAGACGACAGATGGACGAAAGAACGAGAGCAGTAATATACAACACCATTTCCATCTGGCCGTATACAAACTAATTTGTGATGCTTTGGGGTTTTTTGGTAACTTATGTGTTGTCACGTAAGTTACAGTTTTCATTTTCTGTCCATGGTGTCTATCATTCACTTACAAATTCAAAAACAAATTTCACAGACATAAATATTAAAATTAGATATCATTAATAGATTTTTATGTGAACATGAAAGCATTAAAGTATATAAATCTGTCAAGTAGTAAGTTTACACAGGGATAAGCAAAGTTTGGCGCAACAGTAGTACATATATTTACTTAAGTTTGGGTGTTTTCTTTTCATATGAAATATTGATTGGCAGATTTCTACTTAGTAAAACGGTATTGAATCTAAAAAAACAACTGTAATCGACTCCTTTTTAAGACAATCCTTTAAAGGTAGCAAAACCACCATTTTAGCCTATGCAAAACCTTGGTGAAATTACGATATTTTGTTAAAAATTATTTCAACAGGTGTCTTAACTTTATGGTAGAATTAAAAACAAGGGATGTTCTTGTATCATAAAATTTACAATTCACGTCAATCAGAATTCATTTAATTTTTGGTCATGATGGACCACTTTACATAAAATGGGCCTTATGTCAATGCTTGGATTTTCAATAAATAGGGGAATCTACGATTATTTCAAACTTAATATTCAAGTGATAATGACCAGTAGTATTCATTTAATAGAGAAAAGTTAAAGAACATATAATTTGTGGTATGTACATGTATTTGAAGCCAGTGTGATTTTTACACCAATTTCATTCAAACCCATTCATAACTACATGTAATTGAAATATCTTTACTTAAGGTGCAAATATAGCCCTGTCATAAAAATGATTTTTCCTAGTAGTATTGAAAACAGTGTAAATTTTCCACAGTGTTCCTATAATTATTATACAAATTACATGTAGCTTGCAAGAGTCTATACATGTATGTTAACACTTGAATAATTCTTAACCTACTTGCATATTAAAACAAAACAAGCCACCAGTGAGAATGATGTCCCCCGCTGAAATCCCAAAATAAATAGATGATAAATATTAATTAATCGCACATTTATTTTTTTCAAAAGTATCAAGCAATCAAACCAATTATCAACTACATGTATACACCAAGTTTCATCACTCTCTATCAGATAGTTACATACATGTATCTGGTCCCAAAGCATCGACCAATAAAATTGCTCAGCTCTGTTTAGGTTTAGCTCGAAATGTTAATCATTGAACTCAGTCAAGACATTCACCTACATGTAATAAACGTCAACATTAAACATTCTACCTCAATTAAAAGCAGTGTTGTAATGTTCCAAAGTCTTGACCAATCAAATTGCTTATCGAACCACCAATCAGATTGCTTATCTCTGCTTACCGTAAGCAGACAATGTTTATCATCGAATTCCATCAAGGCATTCACCTAATGAACGCCTACACCAAGTTTGAACATTCTACCACAACTAGGAGAGTTATTGTGTTCCAAAGTCTTGACCAATCAAATTGCTTATCACTCTGCTTACCCTAAGCAGAAAATGCTTATTATGGAACTTAGTTAAGATATTGATGTGATAAAACTATACACCAAGTGTCCTCACTCTCACTTATTTATAACTAAAGTTATCGTGTCCCAAAGCATCAACCAATCAAATTGCTTATCTCTGCTTACCCTAAGCAGAAAATTCTCATCTTTTAACTCCGAACTCCATCAAGGCATACCTACACCAAGTGTGAACATTCTAGCTCAATTAGAATGAGAGTTGTGTTCCAAATTCTCGACCAATCAAATTTCTTATCGCTCTTCTTACCCTGAGCAATAAATGCTCATTATCGAACTTAGTCAAGGTATTGATCTAATAAAACTATATAACAAATTTCATCACTCACTTAATTAGAACTCAAGTTATTGTGACCCAAAGCATCAACCAATTGAATAGCTTATCTCTGCTTACCTAAGCAGAAAATGCTCATCTTCTAACTCCATTACGGCATTCACCTAATAAACACCTACACCAAGTTTGAACATTCTAGCTCAATTAGAAGGAGAGTTATTGTGTTCCAAAGTCTTGGCCAATCAAATTGCTTATCACTCTGCTTACCCCGAGCAGAAAATGTTCATTATCGATCAGAAAATGCTCATTATCGTACTTAGTCAAGGTATTGATGTAATGAAACTATACACCAAGTTTCATCACTCTCACTTAAACATGCATTATGTAAGAGCAAAATCTGCTTATTAAAATTCTTTCTTTAAGCCTGAAATGTTATCTAAATTATCAATTAGACATTAATTAACTTATCCAGACCATAATAAACTCTCGATGTCAAGGCTAGCCTTCGATGTTGGCTGGATTAGATTCCTATATGCCGCTAACGGCCGTTGATAATTAAATCAGAAAAGTGGATAATTGAGACTATGCTGTGTATATTAATGATTTTAGTAATGATGACCGAGAATATGCAAAAATTTCACCCGCTTCTTTCTCGGCTCATAGTGGATCAATTTGACTAAAATTTTCAGCAAATTACATTTACACGATCTAGTTTTTAACTATTATAGCGAGAACTGCCATCTCTTTATCTTATCTCCCATAATGTATCTTTAATTAGAACTAAAGTTATCGTGTCCCAAAGCATCAACCAATCAAATTGCTTATCTCTGCTAAGTCTGCTTACCCTAAGCAGAAAATGCTCATCTTCAAACTCCATCAAGGCATTGACCTAATAAACACCTACACCAAGTTTGCACATTCTAGCTCAATTAGAAGAAAGAGAGTTATCGTGTCCCAAAAAGTGTGACGGACAGACAGACGAGCGAACCCATTTTAATAGTCCCCTGCTTTCTTCGAAATGGGAGGGACAATAATTACTCATATATGCAAGAGCTAAATCTGCCTATTGCAGGTCTTTCTTTAGGCCGGAAATGTTATCTAAATTATTAATTATGACATTAATTAACTTATCCAGGCCATAATCAACTCTCGATGTCATTAGTAATGATGATCGAGGCTAGGCCGAAACTTCAATTGCTAAAATCTTGGTTCAGAGTGGATCAATTTGACTGAAATTTTCAGCAAATTCCTTTTACATTATCTAGTTTTTAACTATTACAGTGAGAACTGCCAGCTCTTTATCTAATCTCCCATAATGTATCTTTAAGTATAGAATAATTTCTTTTTTATTAAATCAGCTTGACACCCTAGTAGTAGCACTAGTAGTATATTATAGCTTATAACCGGTATTGAATTTCAAAGAGTAGTGCTGTTATCATTTATCGATGCATTGCTATCTATTGATGCATCTAACGGAAGGAAAATAATTAAACAGAGCTTTTTTGAAAAAATAATTATTTTCATGAAAAGCGATAAATATTATCGAATATAAGACAAAGCCTAGGCACTAGTATTAATGTGGGTAGGGCCTATTAAATGACCTGTTTACAGCAATTATGGAGATTTGAAGGAATTAAGGAATCAGTGAATTTGTTTCCCATGCTAGAAATCAATGGATTGAATTCCTGTGCCTATCTTATTCATTTTCTTTGAATTTTTAAAATACAGATTTTATACAATAAGATGGAAATAGGTAATTAAAAGTCTATAGAAAAGGGTCATTTTAATTGAACTGTGCTATAGTCAGTAGTAGAGTCGTAGAGATTTAAATCAGATTTGTGTGAAATTGTTATCTTTATGTTTCAATTAATGTGCTATTTAAGGTTGGAGCTGGGTTCTGATAAGCTTTGTTGGTGGACATATTCCGAAATCGCTCTATTAAATGTTATTAATCAAAATAAATCAAGCTATGTTTATTGTTTATTTTGACACTTGTAAGACTTGACACATTGCTTTACTTTCACTTTCACCTGAGGAACTATTGCTTATTAATTTAATGTCCTACCAAATGATTTATTTGAAATGCATGTATACATACACTACAGTTTGTTTTAGAGCCGAAAACAGCAGTGATAACACTAATTGGTTTTATTTAATCGCAATGATACGACAATAACAAATCTCAATGGCATGGTTCCGCAAACAGTCACGTGACCTATAACTTCACATCGCCGGCAGTATGAGTTGATTTACCAAGGAGTACCACTGTCATGCTTTGCAAAACCTATCTCGAATAGTGCATTAAATATCAAATTAACTCTGAACTTCAGAAATTAAGAATATTTTATGTCGTTTACTTACCAAACTTACACAGAGAGCTAAGAAACCAGCTCCGCTCCATTTCGCCATCCTGCCACGTTTGTGTTTATCATCTGTACGCATGCGTAAGTTAAGTCGCGTGTCAAATTGTGGTAGGAGCATCTTCAAACGATTTTCAAACGGATATTTTATTTTTCACCTGTCACAATCTGCTGGAACCAAACAGGTTTTTGATTTATTGATTAACATCAGACAAAAATAATTATAAATGTTGTAACGACCGGGAAATGATACACATACATAATATCTGAAGGCTATTATTGTGCGCTGAGAAAAACGGGTGTAAGTTTGCATAGTGTTGAGGGTTAGATGTTCGAATACAGCACTCATATGGTGATGCGGAAAAATTGATTCGTTTAAACTAAATACTATTTCGCTATATTTCGTATTAAAAATAAAGATATATAAACGAATTAATTATTAATTACTGCGTATTTTGTTTAAACGAATTAATTATTTCTTAAACGAATTAATTACTTTATTATTTCGTTGAAACGAATTATTTCATTGAAACGAATTAATTATTTCGTTTAAACAAATTAATTATTTCGTTTAAACGAATTAATTATTTCGTTTAAACGAATTAATTATTTCGTTTAAACAAATTAATTATTTCGTTTAAACAAATTAATTATTTCGTTTTGATTAATTATTCCCGTTATATAATCGCCCATCCAAGCATAATATGTAGGCTTTCTAATACACATAGGCCTACTAGTAACCTGTGTTCTGGCCCCTTTCAAGGAAGTTTGTGTGGCGAACTGGGAACCAGAGAGCAGAAAACCTATCCGCGACCTTCCACCCTACGTACTCCCCACTCTTTGAACTCTTTACCGAAAACCTTGTGAACGTAATAGAGACCCCATTTTCAATATTCAGCGTTCCGCAACCTTTCGTTCCCGAGGTAGGCTCCTACCCCTTTCCGAGATGACCTTCTAAACACGATAGAGGCTAAAGATTTTAACTAATTTATTAATTTCAAATATGGCGTGAAGCAATGCGGCCATGGGCGGGTAAACCATATTGGTATCGGCATTTCGCGACATTCCGTTTTGAGTTTACCCTTCCCCCCATCTTTTACAAAACCTAATTGTTGACGCAATAATAGAGGCTCAAGTTTTTAACAGAGTTTTTCTGTCAAATTCGATTTAAAGCATTTGGACAATGAATGGATGAGCCCCATAGATATTCCACGTTCTTTTTCTATCTCTGGAAAAATGTGGGCGTATCTGCTATGGCATCAGCTTGCTTAAAATAATTTATTTAGTATTTATCGTGGGCGGTATAGATGCTATCATGGATTCCACCGTGACGGAATTACACGACACCCCTTATAGTGCAGTCTCAAACATTCAGTGGCTGTTAAATATAGTAATAATATATTCCATTGGGGATTTTATAAGATGGGGGATATATGAGGAATAATTAAATATCCTCTTGGACTCTTTATATCAGATGCATTTTATGAACTAAGGTCTATAACATTATGTGACGGAATTACCCACTTTGACATTACCCAAATGGAAACTATGTGTTTACTATTAAATCTACAAATCGAAAGATTTCATGGTGTGCATTTTAGATTATTTCAAAAATATCTAGCTCTGAAAGTAGGAAAAAAACATTTTTATAAACAAATCATCCCGCAGAAGTTTACCGACGTTTACTTTCAATAAATATATTTTAACAATTGCGCTTCTTTTTTTATAATCCCAAATGAAAAGTTTATTTTCTGTTATGATTAAAGTTAATTTAAAATCAAAATAGTTCTATAGCGATGTCGGAAGTTTTATTCATAAGCAACAACTGCAAGTAAATTGGTCACCATCGCCAAGTATTCCATATGTTTCGCCACAGGATTCATGAAACCACAATTTACAGGCTTGACACATGATCCAGTCCTCTGCTAATTTTGGGTCTCCCTTATCACCATAACCCCATCCACATTTATTACAGTTCCAAACGCGACTGTCTCTATCTGCCTCCTTTCAGTGGTTCCTATTTTCCTTGTCTGTAACACAGTGTGCTACATCGATGTATTTAGCATTTACTTTTCTCGATTCCGGATCACTGGTGTAAAACTTCAATTCAACTGATCCATTTTCAAGTGGTCTCACATAGTGTGTCGAAATCGTCCCCGGAAATGTTTGAAGTCCGGTCCACAGGCTATCAACTTCAAGTACATGACATCTTTGAAGAATATCAGCACCAGTCACTGTAAGGATATTTATTTGACTCTTGGGCGATTTAACTGCTTCGGTAAAAGTTTGTGCATCGTACACCACCGCTGCTCTGGCCATTATCAGTCTGTGGACGATACGCTTAACATTTCCACCTATTCCGTCATTCGGGCCTTTACCGTGACTTGTTGCAAAGTAGTTCCAGTTCAGCTGTACAGCATGGTGTTCCTGAAGTTTGGCAATTAACGTAAATATATATTTGTTTTTGTACTGACTGGAAGGACCGTCTGTCCATATGCAAATCTTTTTAACGGTCGGGAAGTTATCAGTAATGATATCGAACATGATAGAAGTGAAAGCAACAACGGCGTTCTTGTCATGACTTAAGTTATCGCTGGCAATGACGTAAGACAGCTTCTCGTTTCTGTAAGTGATCATCACTGTGTAAACTGTAACCTGACGTTGCTTCCAATGGGCGGACTGGATCTCGTCTTGCCATATACATGTGAAGTTTTCTGCGAAATCCATTTGGAGCAGACACTCCTCTGAGGTTTCTCCATTTGATATGGACTTCGTGTGTTTATAGGATCCTACTTGTTTATCCTTGATGTACGAGTGCCAGAAGAACTTGGGGAGCTGCAGAGCTAATTCGTCGAACGCGTCGTACGAAGAGTTTTCTTTCTTGACCTTTTGAACAAATCCATCAGTATCTTCCCACTGGTACCAAGAAAACTTTTTGTCGACCGGAACAGCATTTTTAAATCTCTTCTCAAATAACTTGCCGTCGCAACAATTACTACAGTTGTTAGACATACATTTCTCATTGTTGACATCACAAACACAACGGGCTGTAAAATCTGTCTTGGAATACAAAGGGACAACAGTTGGGTATCTTCGATGAAGTGATTCTAATAGAAGCATGATGTTGTTGTGATATTTACAACCGCAAACATTTTGAGGCATCTGGGATGATAAGAGCACCCATCTAGGTCGAAGTGACGAAAACTTTGATTTACCAATCAAACTTGTAGCTGTAGGATTATCTCCCAAGAAGCACTTGTAGGTCTCAGTTAGCGTAGTAACTAAATGACGTTTCTGTTTGTGATATTTGTTGCCAAGTAGGTCTTTCAGTGATATAAAATCTGCTTTACCCGGCATCATCCTCGAGACAGAGTCGTTCTCATAAAAGTCAACCACTTTCTGCTCCAGTTCGGATGGCACACTGTCCTTTGTTCTTGGTAGGCGAGCTTGAATATCTAGAATTTCGCATGCCATTATCTTAACTAAAGATACTCTTTTCCTTGGACTTTTGGGTAGGGCCTTCATAACTCTTGATTTGGCTTTGCCTAGTGAAGCCATTGTTTTGTAACAGGTCCCAGTCACGGTACTATTTCCATCCACAATCTCTTCATTGGCATTGCCCATTCGGTGATTTCGTACAGCCAATCTATTTCTTTTCCTTAAATCACTTAGCTGTTTTGGTCCCATGGCGGATCTGGCGTTTTTCTTCCGTTCCCTATCCACGCGTTTATTAGTTTCGTAATCCACCCGATGTATAGATACCTGAAAGCAAATATGAATATATAAGCTTATACAATGAAATATATATACATAATAATACAATGAAATTTGAATTACATCTAAATAAGTTTATGAAATATTTACTAAAACCTTAGCTTGAATTTCGAAAAAATATGTAATTCCGTCACAAAGGGATGGGTAATTCCGTCACGTTGGAAAATGTAATTCCGTCACACATAAATTTGGGAGTTCTATTTGTGACAAGTGAAATTTTAGAACATACTTCAATGCTGACATACTTTCCCAAAAAGGAAATGAGTTTTTGTAGAAATATGCCTAATATTAACATCTTTAGAAAAATAAATATCATATTTTGCGTGACGGAATTAGGCTACACCAATCAGTGAAAATGTGGACAATTTTTACCAATTTACAAAATGATATTCAGTTACTCAAATCTCAAAGAATTGTATCAAACATAATGGGGTAAACATAAGGAAAAGATTGATGTATAACATACCTATCTCATTTGTTGTTCCAACCCAATCTGTTTTACAGACCTAATGCGACATCCGTCTTTTATCTCTGTCTAAGATGACTGACCTTTAAAAGGTCAGACCGCTGTAGTTCTAAGGGTGACGTCACATCACAATGTTTACCAACAAAGCAAGATGGCATCGATAACGCCAAAAAAGATTACTTCTGTGGCTTGTTTTTGTTGTTTTAAAACAAACACGGGCCGGTCAATCAGATTAGACGGTAAAAAAAATGTACTTCTGAAAGAATTCAGAGTAAACAAACAGAAAAAAACGTCAAATTGATGGTCACACGTGCGTTGTTTACATCGAACGTAGTAATATGAACTGGTACAGGCAAAATTATATCGTTTTACCCATTTTACGCCTCCGCGTACTATTTTCTGTACCTATTTACGCTAAATATGGAATATTTTTTATCAAGATATACTTCAAACACCTTTATTTATTTTTCTAATACTAAAAAAAATGTTTCAGAATTTAATTTGTCGAAAGAAAAAAGTTAATATTTTGTAGTCATTAAGTCGCATCGATGTCATCCTTATCAGTGATTGTAGCGGCCAAGCGAATATTCACTGCGGATCAGTGTGGTTCCAACCAGCTTAAAGACGTCAAAAGAAAGGCCTCGAAAATTCGTATTTGGCGCGCTTAGTTTCTTTAGCAGAAGCGTGACGTCATAGCGCGTGTAGGTCGCCGGTGACGCGCCAAAATTAAAACCCAGATAAAAATGGTCGCTTAGAATGATAAATTGTACATTACAATCAAAATCATATAAAATTACCCAGTTCAAAAAAATCATACGTACACCTGCGGGAACACGGTCGTTGTGGTAAGACCTAATTAAAAAAAGGGCCGGTGCTTGTGGGTATGGATTTGACTGATGAATTTCAGACGGTTAAAACATAATAAAGATCCATATGCACACGGGCGGGTCTCTGCAGGCGGTAGTCGTGCCTATGTATGGAAGCCTATAACTACCATTCATAATTTCTACTTTTCGCCTCTTCAAAACACCAAAGTCGAAAAGTAGAAGTTACGACAAAATGTGAGGCGACAACACGGTATACAAGCCAAAATCAACTCGAAAGTAGGAAATTATTAAGAAATAACACACAGCGATAATAGCGCCCCTCGTTTTTTCCTAATTTCTTATTTTCGACTTGCATTTTGGCTTGTATACCGTCTTGTCGACTTTCGACTTAGTCATATTTTTGTATTTATTGATGTCAGTAAGAAGGCGCCAACACGCATACCAAGCCAAAATGCAACTAGAAAAGTATAAATTAGGAAATTAACACACCACGGTATTAGCGACTTTTCGACTTTTCGCCTCGGAAGTTGTTGTAGTCTCAGTTTTCCAGGTCGCATTTGAATGCGTGCAATCAGGGTTCACACTGTATTTCATTCTTTTCCGTCAAAATGGATAATAATTTTTATATAAAAAAAAATGTTCATATTTTTCCCCGCCAACTGGGATATTTTATCTGCCAAAAATGTCACCTTCAACAATTTAATTTATTATATAGGCCTATTATAAAACAAATTTCCCGTACCGATATTATACAACAACATACATGGGGATTGGGTGGTCTAGTGGTTTAACACGTGCGCGTGAAATCACAAGGTCTGACATTGATTCAAGTGGTGTGATTTCGATTCCCCGCTTAAACATGACAAGGGAGTAGGATCGCTTGTCCAACCTTGTGGGTTTTCTCCGGATACACCAGTTTCTATCCACTGCTAAAGACCCCTACGTGCAAACGAATTATTGAGATGATTTAGTTTGCAACGAGTGGATGTTAAGCCAGCCTGGAGGTCGGGTGTTCGATCCCTGCATTGGTCGAGAAAGTGCATCCAGATTTTCCCCCTTGTCAGTGATGCAGGACGTGGAGGTCGGGTGTTCGATCCCTGCATTGGCCAAGAAAGTTCATGCAGATTTTCTGGCGGATTTCCCTATGTCAAGGATGCAGGGTGGGGGGGGGGGGGGCTGACAAGGACAACTGTCGCATACCAAGCCAAAATGCAAGTCGAAAAGTAGAAATTAGGATATAAACACACACGCTATTAGCGACCTATCATTTTGGCTTGCTGCCGTACTGGCGACTTTTCGAGTTTCGCCTCGGAAGTGGTTGTAGTCACTTTCAAGGTCACATTAGAATACGCGCATTGATAATTGAATTTCATTTAGGCCTACTGTGGTTTCATGCCGTATATAAAATATACAGGTTTTCCCGATTGTATATTATTATTTTATTTCAAATTATATTATCACCATGGGTAGGAAATGTAAGAACGAGTCGAATAGTGACGTTTTAGTACCGCCGCCAAAATTCTCTAATGATTGTAAGCATGTCTTACAAATAATATTGAAATTTCTATGAGGATTCAGATTCTGGGTCATTACGGTACCTGTAATTAAGAATAGGCCTATTGTACATGCAAAACGTTAAAAAGGGAAATCCCTGGATGAGACTGGCGTGTAGAGGCTGAATATATATTGTTCTGTAGGGGGGGGGGGGTAACGTCCACTCGACACAAACTAAGAGTTATTTTGTGATTTTATGGTGTCTAAGTGGGTAAGACGCTGGCTCGCTAGCCTGAAAATCTGGATAAACTTTCTCGGCCAATGCAGGGATCGAACACCTGACCTCCACGTCCTGCATCACTGACAAGGGGGAATCCGCCGGAAAATCTGGATGAACTTTCTCGGCCAATGCAGGGATCGAACCCAGGGGTAACCCACCACTAGAAATGTCTGTTAGAGTGTTTTTGTAACACCTGAAGATGTACGGTACATTGCGTACGATTTTCATGTAGTACACTTTTAAGCTAACCTAGCCTAGTTGGTGGGCATGGCATTTTGGGCGTGGAATACCACACCCACCACCAGTAACCCGGCAGACTTACATTCTGATGAAACCAGATATACATGCATTGATATCATATAGGAGAAAATTAGTACATTTTTCAGCTAGGTTAACCCCCTGGGCTCCCGTTCTATTCTATCAACATAATGGTCCCGACCAGGTGCGCAATCACCAAATGAGCAAGCAGTGGCGACACCAAACGACTTCATAATGATGGTTGCTATATATGCAGAAGTGTAAAAATTCTAAATTCGTTGATGTTGATGCTAAACGTATAAATCATCGATTAAGAAGACGTTTTTCGTGCAAATTATAGAAATAAGATGGAATAGAATTAAAATGTACACTGAACAAATAAAGAAGTTGGATTAGGCCTATACATTGCCTTAATATAAAAATTACATGAATAGAAGTTAGAAATTACATGAATAGAAGTTAAAAATTATATGAACAGAAATTAGAAGTTAGACGAAAGCACGTTAGAATTTTGAATCTAACATACGTGTTCACCCGAAAAAAACTCCAAGGGTCTATTTTTATCCACTCCCCTTTAAATACTATAAACGAACATATATATTTATTTAAAACTTGATTAGAGGATGTTGGCCTATAGCCAGAAAGCAAAAACAATTCCGCTCGGCGTACAGGACGATTGATTGGTTTTGTTATGTTGTGAGTGTGTTTGTTAGGTTTTTTGGGTTGGATTTTACTCACTATTTCTGAAAATGAATCATTGCAACGGAATAGATACCGAGTGGAGCAATGTGCGGGCTATTATATACGTCGTAGATGGCAAATTCTTCCGGTGAAATGAACTTTTGGCTTTTTTTCAAAGTTAAGACCCGGTTTCGTGCCCAACTGTCAAAATTAAAGGCTCTTCCAAAATGAATAAATGTAAAAACGTGAAATAAAAAGTAACTTGCCCGTTATGCTTTCATTTTTACCCTCTTGACATTTTATTATGAGTTTTTTTACGACCTCACAAGTATAATTGGTCATCTATGACATGATGACATGGCCCTGATAACATTCACTGATGGGTACCATATGGGTACTATGTGTGATGTAATTATGGGGAGCCCATATGGGACCCCAACATTTTTGCACCCAACATTCATATGGGATCCATATGGGCAACCATATGGGTACTAAATGGGGTTTGTGTGGGGTCTATATGGGTAAGTCATTTAAAATAATATGGGTATTATATGGGGCTTACATGGGACCTATATAGCAATGTTAAGAAATGTAATATGTGTACTATAAATGTAATATGGGGCTTGCATGGGGCCTATATGGCCATGTTAAGAAATGTAATGCTACTATATGGGACTCGTGTAAGGTGCAAATAAATGTAATATGGTCATAATATGGGACTCATATGGGATCTTTGTGGATATGCCATAATATATATATATTATGGGCCCTCTATGGGATCCATATGGGTCTTCTCTGGTTCTCTCATTTAAATGATAATTAAAGCACAAAGCAATTCGAAGAAAGTTTCTTAGAAATTATAGCTGAACTAAGACTAATTTAATACAAGTATCTTCAGATGTATGATCATGCTAGGTGACACTATTTTAATAAATATCAAGTGTGCTACCCTGCTCTATGTAACTTTGATGGATTCTCTAGTTATTTAAGCATGGTAAACAACAAGTACCAAATAAGTACAAAACTATTTACATTTGGTTTCATTTTTTATTATTATGCTTTCTCAATTAGGACGGCTGAAATTCGTTGGGATCCCCCACCATCCCATCCCTTGAATTTGTCAGGAAACGACTAACCGCATCATTGATTTCCTTGTTTGTGGTTTTTCAAAACATTGGATCTTCTCACTGGCTCTGTAATTCAAAAGGAAAGCACATTAGGTCTGTTGATGTGCACCCTGACAAAGCAACACAACTCTTCCCATATACAAAACACATACAATTCAAATCTAAATTGCACCTGAAATATGCAGAGGGTTCCAAAAGACTTTTGATGAACGATTGTAAAAACATTTAAATAAACCCCATCGTACCAGAACTATTATTAATATTTTTATCATTAATATGCATTTATTTCCAACAATGACGTATCATCAATATTACTTACAAAAACAATGGTAGCTGCAGCATGTGCCCCTAATTCACGGTTTGCCTTTTTGATCCTGTCCAATTGTAAAGGCGTTGTACATGCAGCTCAGTGGTTCTGTTGGGGCGATAAGTTCTTCATCTAAGAACATACTCTCAAAGCATGTCAAATGTCCATGACTATTTATCATATCACAACCTGCATTTCAATATCCCCTACTTTTTTTTTAAGAGTATATTTGACCAGAAACGTGAAATGTGGCCGCCATTTTGAATAAATTGAATTATCCATGGTCAAAAATTCGTGTTCAGCGTCCAAAATGGCCACAAAAACCACAAGTCATTATTGGATAACTGCAATAACGCAGTGTTATTTACCAAATCGAATTCCACCTGTACACGGGACCTCGGTTTTTCGTCCCATCTGAACGACTAGACAGCTGTCGTCAGGCCCTCCGACCAAGTGGGTCGGATCATGCACCAAAATCAATAGTTGGCGTCCCTAGGCTGCAATGAATGCATATGTCAAGTTTCAAGATGATCCATATTCAGAATTGCGGCCTGTATGCGTTAAACAGATAAATTGGGGATGGTTCTGAACCTTGGGGTTGGGAGATGCACCAAAATCAAAACTAATAGAGGTCACCCTTAGGGTATAATGGATAAGTACGAACAGTTTCGAAACCATCCATTATGAATTGCGACCTGTAGGCGACAAACAAATGCACCAAAAACAATAGGGATCATCCTTAGGGTATAAGAAATAGGTATACAAAGTTTAAGAATATCTGTTAATAATTGCAGTCTGTAGCCGACAAACATACAAATACAAAAATTGGGCGTGGTTCTGTCCCTGGGGGCCGGGCATGCACCAAAACAATAGGGAATAAGTATGAACAGTTTTAAGACAATCCGTTAAGAATTGTGGATTGTAGGCGAGACACATTATGAGAGAGAGAAATGGGGTTTAACGTCCACTCGACACAAACTAGATCATTTCAATAATTCGCTTGCGAATAGGTGTCTTAGCAGTGGAGGACCCGGAGAAAATCCACGAGCTTGGCTAGGCGACCCTACTCCTTGTCGCGTACAACCGGGGAATCGAAACCACACCAGTTGACTCAATAACAGACCTTATGATACAAAGCGCACGCGCTAACATTCAGCTATCCAACCCGGCATACATATTATGAATGCGGACGTATAAAAATGAAATGGGATTTACCGTCCTACTGTTCTGCTCGGACTGGACTAACGAAGACTAGGCACCAAAAACAACAGGGATGACCCTTAGGGTTTAAGGAATAAGTATGAAATGTTTCAAGACGATCCGTCAAGAAATGCGACAGACACATTTGGGCGGGGTTCTGTCCCTGGGAATTGGGCATGCATTAAAAATACTAGAGGTCATCCTTTGGGTATAAGAAATAAGTACGAACTGGGCTAATGAAGACGGGCAAACACCATACAGTATGCCATGAGGGAAATTTTGCCAGGCAGCGGAGCTACAGCCTACTCTTATATCGAATTGCAACTGCGAAAGGGTCGTTTACATGTACGCCAATGTGTACACGGGATCTAGGTTTTTCGTCCCATCCGAACTACTATACATTGTACCTTGCCAGGCCCTTGATCCTACACCACTGACAAGGAGGAACCACGCCGGAAAATCCCGATGAACTCCAGATTAGCGAGTCAACGTCTTATTCACTGAGCCACTGTGGCACCCAATCACCCGAAGAGGCGTTTCACTTGTAATTTTTGCATTATCGATTTTTTTCCTTAAAAATTCCCATCAAACACAGAATGGACATTTAGTCTGAGCTGGCATTACAAAAGACAATAATGGTATTACTAATAATTTTATTAAAGGGGTATTTATATTACGACCAATAAACAGTTTCAAAACACTGTCTTAAAATAATAGCGATGCAATAAGTATATACAGACATTGAAGAGGGTGGTTATTTACCAGAATATTGAATATAAATCAGCACAATATTTAACAGCAACCTATCTACATCGTCACATTATCAAGTGAAACAGAAACCAACATTAAATTTTTTTATAAAATTATGTATAGTGACTGATAAAACTTTTCACAAAACAAGCAAGCAGTTTTAACCAGCGGCTGTCAGGCAGGATACACCCACATTTTGCAAGAGATGGATAGAAAACAAGCTAAAAACAAAAACGATTTTTTGTACAATCAGGGGCCATAATCCAGAAAGTTATGGCCTGAAATGCGCAAATATCAAAAAGTATCTGAGATTTTTGGAATATAAAGATATGATTTGGATAAACATTGTGACCTCTAGAGGGTCCATAACCTTTGTATTACATACTTAATGCACAATTTGCATACAAAGAGCGGCCATTTTGTCGAGCAGTTTCATTTCGAATTTCCCGAAATTCCAATTCAACCTTCATTATGATGGAATGGTGATATGTCTAAACGGTTTTTAAAATCCGAAAAATATTGTAACCTCTAGAGAATCCACAAGCTAAAAGAGTGATTTTTCGTAAAATCAGGGGCCATAATTCAGGAAGTTACAATCCGAAATGCGCGAATATCGACAGGAACCAAGATCTGTGGGATATAAACATACATTCCAAATCGGATGAAAATTGTGACCTCCAGAGGGTCCACAACCTTGATATACCATATTTTACACTATTTGCGTACAAGGGGCGGCCATTTTGTCCGGCAGTTTTGGTCCGATTTTCACAAAATTCGAACTCGACCTGCATTACGGTGGTGTAACGGTGATATAATCAAACGGTTTTTTAGATTGGATAATAATTGTGACCTCCAGAGAGACCACAAGCTAAAAAAAAAGGTGATTTGTCGTACAATCAGGGGCCACAATTCAAGAAGTTAGGATCAGATATGCGCAAGTATCGAAAGGATCCAAGATGTTTGGGTTATAAACTTGCATTTCAAGTTTCATCAAAATCGGTTTAAAATTGTGACCTATAGGGTCGACAGGCTAAAAACGTGATTTTTCGTGCAATCATGGGCCATAATCCGTGAAGTTTCGATCCGATACATTCCAATATCGACAGCAACCGAGATCTTTTGGAGATAAACCTATATTTCAAGTTTCGTCAAAATCGGATAAGAATTGTGACATGTAGGGTGTCCACAAACAATTGTGCACGTCCAAACGGACAGGGGCGACGAAAATATACGTCCACATGAAAATGTGGGCGTATAAAGTATAAGTGAATAGAGAAGAATAATATTTCAAAATAATAATCTGAAATAAATCAATATATAGCAATACAGCAGTAACATAAAATCAGTCCGTGAATTATTCTTTACACCTGTACATACGATTCAAATAACGATAACAAGAACAAAATTAAATATATTTTGGGGGAAAAAATTAAATTCTTGAAGCAGTAAGCATTGTCTATAACAAAAATAGAAGTAGGACAATATTTCTCCTTACAGGGAAAATATTAAATTTCATATACATGTTGTATAGTTAAACCTCAAGGACCTCTATACGTCATCTTTATTCGAGATTATATCAATTGTAAACCTGTTAATGGAAAGAAAAATCAATTATATAAAAAAAATGTCCTCATTTACTAGCTGACACCCATACAGTCAGTACGCTGCTTCAAATGCAACTTGCATTCACATATCGTCAGTATTGGCTAACCCAAAGAATTACCAAAATGTTCATTCGTAAATTTCAGAATACCGCCGACATTCGAGTATCCCGATTTACTGTGTATACGTTTCCCTTTGGTATTTCGTCCTGTATTTTTGCTACGACGGGGATTGAGAATTTATTCTTTGTGTAAATAATGGGTGTTCGTTTAGTGGACTTTTCATCGGGATTCTCAGTGGTCGCATATTCATTTTCTGTTACCAAAGTATTTTCAGTTTTGATGTTCTCGCCTGCTGTTATGCCCGAACTTGCATGTACAGGTGTTAAATAAGTAGAAGTTTCTTCAGGAAATAGTGTGTATTTGTTTTCTGTAGTAGGTGGCGTTTCTGTTTTGGCAATGTCGTTCAATCTAATACCATTTTTAATATCCACGGCATTCATATTTGTATATACAGAGGGTTTGAAATCTGTTTCGTCCAGTTTCATGGAGGTCGTATTTCCCGAAACATTTTCTTTTCTGCATATCTCAGATTGTTTATTTTCCCCATCAGACAACATAGTAGGCTTATTTACAATTGTACTTAGCGTTAAATAGGATGTATTGTTTTCTAACGGAATAGGTTTTGTGTATGAAGTTTCTACAAGTGGTACTTCCCCCATCTCTGTTGTCTCGGGCGTTACGTTTTTGTGTTCCAGATTAACCGGCCTTACTGGGGTTAGATAATATGTTTTCTCTGTGGCACTGATATCATCGATGGCACCTTGAAGGTCATTCCTGGGAGGGGGCAGTATAGGTGGTATATTCCGGTCATCAATGTTATCGTATATGTGATGTCTTGCGTTCAGGGATTTCTTATTACCATATTTATCAAACTTTCTTTTGTTGGACACTGAAGAGAAATAAAATACATCATATTGAACGATGATAGCAAATGATGCAAATCGTGACTTTGATTTACTTTATGAAGATATCATCACCCAGGATAAGATCAAATGGATAGTGTTTGATGGCAACTTTAAAAAAAAACACATGAGTGTATTATTATATAAACAGGTTTCTCTTTAATACCCGTATCGCGGTTTGAGTCTGTACCAGGTTTGGCTCGGTATCTTATTTTTTTTTTTTTTTTTTTTTTTGGGAGGGGGGGGGGGGATTTATTTACGTAAGAGCTACATTATCATTAGAGACTTTTGGCAAGCGTAAATTTCTGGTCCGTATCGCGTATCCGTGTGGATTTTGCGTATGACGTCATCGATGTGTGTATATTTCTCATACGTGATACGACACACGGATACGGCAGCACGTATCGAACAGCTTTTATACGGAAAGGTCCGTATAACATTGTCGTGTCCTTTTACCGTCTTTTTTGCTACTTTTAGACGCTGAATTGTTGTATCGTAGTGTTTTTTTTATGAATATTTGTGTATTCTAGAACACGAAGGTGTATATTTGATGTGATTTTAACCATGATGGTTGAACTACGTGCTAAATTTAGGGAGGCGGAACCTTGTAAATCTGTAAATGATTTTATTCTGTGGTAAAGGGGTATAAACTTTCTGAAATGATACATTAGTGAAACCAAAAATTGCAGTCGAGTCGAAGTCGAAGATTTTAAATAAGATTCAACATTAATTTTTTTTAATAGCTCGGCTCTAATAGGCACTTGACTAGTACTGATGGTGATCTTGGTAGATATCTGCCATCATGCTGTAATAGAACTAAGCTCAGCTGATCGACGCACACGTACGCGACACGAAAATCTGCCAAAACTCTTAAACTACAATGACGCAACGTATCACGTATACGATACGGATACGTGATACGGATGGGACAATTCCGCTTGCCAAAAGTCTCTATTGGTATGTATCCGCGTAAGTTTCGAATTTAGAGTGGGTTTATTGTCAATTTAACCATTTAACCATGCTCAAATAATTAGAATATTAGTTACGAAAGAGCTACATGTATATTAGCCTTGGAATGTTTGCGCGTAAGTGGATTTAATAATAAAAATAACAATTGAAAAAGAGTAAAATATATATAAATAAATATGAAATAAAACATCAATAAATGATTTTTACCAATAATGAACAGTTGGTTTGCCGAAAAGCTCTTTAGCAGAGTCTTTCAAACAAATAATAAAAATAAACTAACGAGATCAATTCTCGGTCGTTATAAAATAGTTTCTATTTGAAAGTGAGAACCAAATAGATCTAATATAGATGGAGATTCGTAAAGGAAATCTTAGAGAAAAAAAAAGAAATATAAATAGAAAGCAGTCGGACATTTAATTTAAAACATAAAATTGAAATTTCAAGCAATATCTCTTAGGTGATATCACTATATATATAGATATGGTTGTTACCAAACGGGTGATAAAATCTGTGGAATGCATTATGTCGATCAAATCAATTTTTGAACTTGCTTAAATCATCAGTGTAGGTGCCCCAGAGAATTACAGAGTGGTTCCAAGAATTTTCCTACAATGATATATCGATATTCAGCCGCGGGAGCACAGATCCCTGATAAACGGCTAGGGAGACTTGTGACACACTATCACCAGGGCTTTCGGTAATTTTTCACAGATGATTAGCAGCACTGCTAATCAAAAAGTCCAATTTTGCCAAATTTGATTAGCAAATTTAAAAATTGATTAGCAGTTTTTCAGTTTCAAATCAACATAAAACACCTAAATAACAAGATTATTTTAATTTTAATTGATAGCAAATGATTAGATTTCATTCTTAAGATTTTTTTAGAATGTTAGCACTTCTACAGCTAGCTGTGAACATTTCTGAATGAATGTAGACTTTTGTTAGGCCTTATGTCTGAAGCCAATTCTTGGCAGTGGCTGCTTATTTCTTCGTTAGAAAACAATTTCGTCTGCTTTTTATCGTGTGTTATTATTTTTGTTCAATCGGAAGCACGCGGTATTTTACGAATAATCTCGATTAACTAGACGCACGCGATATAAACAATAATAGTTTACGGGAATTCTTACTTTGATTTCTCACTTTACAATACGTTTACACGTATTTATTTTTTATATTTTATTTACAATACGTGGGGGATACACTGAATTTATTTTTTTTCAAATTGAATACTGATATAATTACTCGAAATTGACATGTCTCGCAACGTGAGTGGTACTACTTGATTCCCTATTTCCGGTTTAATAGTCCCGATTCATAGAGTTATGTCCCTTTATTATATAGTATCATGAATTGAGTCTGGGTAGTTCGAGAAGAAAATGTCACACGGAGAATTCCGTTTTGTTTATAAAATTTATTTGATATTTTATACGCGTTGAAAGTGTTGAGAAATGTGGATAAATCTTTGTTTCAATATCCAAAATGACAGGCATATTAATGATTCGCAGTTACTGCGAATCAAAAACGTTAGATTTTAATTTTTGATTAGCAACGGACAAAATATGTATCGCAAATTGCGCTGCGATACTGGTTGTCGGCAGCCCTGACTATCACGGTACTGAACCTACGACCGCAAAGAAGACATGCATAAAATCCACAGCACATCTCTCTATACTACTAGGTCCCCATCTCAGATAACGATAATAAATACCGCAAAACTGTTTGAAAGAAAACACGTTTCTTGAAAACAAAAGTTAGCAAAGGAATAGTGTCTTAAGTTTCGTTAAAAAACACTTCTGTAATTTTTAGACTAAGTACGGTTTTTCCATCTCTATCCACTTCTGCAATAGGTTGTTTAATTTGCACAAGGAGTCCCGATTTTTCATCCTACCTCAACAGGCGTTGCCATTGAAAAATGAAAATCGAGCTTTACAAATCCCACAGATTCATTACTGACTTATGTGATTCCCCTCCTGAAGTCAGTAACCAAACCGACCGCCTACCGGGTCCCACAATGCAGAAAGATAAATGCTAGAATATAAATACTTACTAGAAACCAATTTTATTATAATCAGTGTGACCAACAGGATAACTATAACTGCCATTATATAGGGAATTAATTCTTTCAGTGGTTGTTGTAGCCAATGATTATTATTGGCTTCTGTTGTTGAACTGTCTGGAACAGCCATGGTTGTTTTATACAATTCATCATTATGCGTTGATTTTGATGTTACTGGTTTTGGTGAGGATTTTATTGTTCGTTGTATGGTTGTTGTTCGTTCTGTAGTAGTAGTTGTTTGTTTTGTAGTAGTTTTTGATAGCGTTGTTAATGGCACTGTGGTTGTATTTGGGGTTATGAATCTCTTCGTTGCGTTTGTACTTGCTGGCACTGTGGTATCTACAAGTATTTTCAGAATAAATATATTATTTTCAAAATAAATATATTAAAAAATGGCTATGTTTAGGATGAGAGCGCACCTCTTTAATATGATATTGCCAACCTTTACTAATACTATTTGGAAAACCTATTTAATTACCTTTTAGATATCATATATAGTTGGATGCTCAGAATTTTGTGCGATGATCCGAATTTGAACTTCGAAAAGTCTATCTTTACATTTCAAATATTGAAAAATTGACTATATTCAGGTTGAGAGCGTGCCCCTTTGATATGATTGTGCCAATCTTTACGAAAAATATTTGGAAAGCACATTAATTATACCTTTCAGGATATATTTAGTTGGATCATCAGAATTTTGTACGATGATCCGAACTTTGACACGGAATATGAATTACGGTCTTTCCCTATAGAATATTGAAAAATTGGCAGTGTTCAGGTTTAGAGCGCGCCCCTTTTATATGTTTCTGATCTTTATTCTGAATAGGTTGCCAGCTGATCGGTCGAATCTGCAGCTAGACGAATAGGTTGCTTATTGTGTTCGTTCAAGCTCGACAGACGAATATTTGGGAGATAAAAATTCGCCCGGCTTTGGACAGCAAAACCGACCTTCTTAGCGGGATGGTCTGACGGCAAGAAATTCAAAAGCGAAAAATAAAAGTCAGATAGTAAGTGATATAATATATATATTTCCCAACTAACCTGTGACAACTAATCTAGACTGTGTGCTAGTGTGTCTAAAACTACCACATGTCCATATACCTTGATATGCCATATCAACATTTTTAATATGTAATATACCGCCATTTGCTGTCACATAACACACAGATTTATCTCTTTTCCATAACAATTTATTACCGTTGACTATTTTACAAATCTGTGTGTCTCCCAAAAAGAATTTAACTGTCCCGTCTGCGTCACCATGGTCACAGCAAAGACAAGTTTCTCCACCAACCACAACGTTGGGTGGCGTGATGTTGAGTTGAACTCTTCCGGCTGTTCGAAAAGAAATAAATTGAGAATACATAAAAATAATATGCCTACAACTAAAATTTGTGAAATCTTCGTTTGAATGTAACTTAATTCCTAGAATCCTAAAATAAATCAATATAAATTAACCAGCTATATGAGAACTTAAATCCGACGTGGTATCAATTGTTATAGAAAACTAAAGGACAATATTGGTGCCAGTCATTATCACATATGTGATAGAGATGGTTAAACACATTCCAAATATAATTTTAACATAGAGATCATTGCTACGATAGCTGAGTAAAACAGGTTTCCTGAATCGGAAGTGACGAACGCCAAAGGAAAAAACGAGCCATCTCTCTATATAACTGACTGATGTGACGAGTGATAACGGATATACGGGCGAATTTCTGCTCACTAATAATTCCCTTCCATGGGTTCTTTTACGTGCACACATGTGTACACGGGCGGATCTGGGTTTTTCGCCCCATTCGTGAACTTCTCTTGTCAATCTACATGCACCACCACTAACCAGTAGGAATGAGCTTTGAAAATCCCTATGGTTCTGCTCTGTCCGAGCCAGGATCCGAACTACATGTACATTATAGTTGGGAGGCCAGTTCACTGCCCATGCGACTACCGCGACCCCACAATTGGAGGATAGTATGCCATTAAATGTTTACATATTTTGTGAGACAACATGTCAGACGATCTATATTTATAAGATTGTCTATTCACTTTCATCAAACTTCATAAAATATTTCTCTCGCGTATGGTGTACAGTCGTTTTGCCCTTCATTCCTCCGCCCCTATCATTATGTATACATGTATATGGGGGCATATTTAGATATATATATAATATTGTCAATATAAATCCCCCTTTGAATATATTCATCCTAAAATGTTATACGAGTACTAAACATATTACCTTCTAATATGTGGCTTTCACACTGAAAAATAAAATTGTACATATTGCGTTATAATTATATAATTACGATGGGCAGATGCACAAATCTGATTTGATGATAGCATCATCAATGGACGGAAACCAACTTTGCAGTGACAATCGGAAAATTGGGTGCTCGGTATATCGGACGTTAAAAATGTGACACAAATTTAAAAACCTGCTTGCAAATTTGCGCCAAGCTGCTCTTAGAATACTTTGCATACGGTATGGTAGAAGTTTTAATATGTAATGAAAACTTCATAAAATCTATTAATATCAAAATCTGGGGATAATATAAGATTAATTTTCGTAAAAGACCCGATAAAATTAATAAAATTAATAAAATGAAATTATTGTTGTGTTTGACCTCTTGGATGTTGGCAGTTCAATACACAAACTAAAACAGGAACTCTACCAACTGCACTCGACACAAACTAGGTCATTTCGGGACTAACAAATGCTTTAATTCTATTTCAATAATTCGCTTGCGCGTAGGGGTCTTTGCAGTGGGAGGACCCGGAGAAAACCCACGCCAGTTGACTCAATGACAGACCGTATGATACAAAGCACGCGCTAATCATTTGGCCATTCAATCCCCTGCTGCTATAGTACAGTAGACAAATAATATGGAACTATGAAAACATTAATGCACAATGAGAGATAATCATTTAGAAACGATCAAAGGGGTTGAGAAGCCATAAGGGTTGGTTAGTAATCAACTACATGTATATACAAAGAAAAAATACAATATAAGGACAGCTAAAATAGGTAGATTTATGATGTAGTGGTGAGTATACGTACACAGAGGGAACCAACTATTAGAGAAAAACATGATATTAATATTGGTTTCACCCAGAATCGGCTATGTTTTGGTTTCATAAATCTTTTAATATTGAGTACGTGAGATATAACTTCTCTATAATGTATGTGAACCTAATAATTAGATATAATATATTATACCCATACTTTTTCTCGACTCTTTGATGAAAATGGGAGGGTATACACCGATACACGACCACTTTTGACGGCCACTTTTGAAAAGTGGCCGTGTATCAGTTGAAAAGGGACAAAAATAACAAAATCATGATTTACATATTTATTTGAACATCTACAACCCGTTTTGAACATGTTATGGTAAAAGAGTCATCATTTTCAACTGTCTCAGCACTTTTCGAATGTGCGTCACTCTCAATCAGATTCTTACATTTTGTCTCACATTTCTTTACATTTTGATATCTAGTCGCACTTTCACATTTTGTCGCACTTTCACATTTTGTCGCAGCTTCTGCACATCCGCAGCACATAATCCAAATATTTTACTATTATAAATTAATCTCTTGGCATTTTCAACACTAAAAACTTTCACATTTTGTCGCGATTTATGCTCATCCGCAGCACGTAATCCAAATATATTACTAGTATAAATTAATCCATTGGCATTTTCTACACTACAAACTTGAGAACTCTACAATTCCAACTCGTCTTCATTTAATGGCTGTTCTTGTTTTTGTCTGTCAGTGGATGTCAATACCTCGCGAAGTTAATGAATTGATCTGTGCGGAAATTAGCAAATGTACCTTGCTTATCAAAAAAGTTAAAATCCAATCTTTTGTACTGATCTCGAAGTGTCACCATATTCCTATGCAATTGGTATTTTTCCTCGTGTCTGGCAGCATTCGACTCATCTGCGTGGCTTTAATTTCTTGTTCTGTGAAGGATCGGGCTTCTAAATCTTAGCGATCATTGAAATCTCTTGCAGAACTGATATTCTCGGTCTTAGAAATATATATCTGTGACATTATAAAGTAGGATTCTTCGACGAATTCCCGCATTCATTTCTGCCAGGATGTTGGCAAAACAACAAGGAATGGCTACATGTATTGTACAAAATGATTGGATGACGTTTGCGTTTCTCAACCAATCAATATCCCTGTTATGAACATTTTCCCTGACCTGATTTAAACCGTGAAATGCACGTGCGGTGTACTGACATCATTTACCTGAGTAGAAATAAGCGTTTGCGATGAGATAATTGGGGGGCTCTAAATGGGAAACTTTGATAAATTTGTGAAATGAAAAATGCTTTTGAAATTGGGAAAAATAGAAAAAATCTCTATTTCTCGAAAAAGTATTTAGTATAAGTCAGTTATATACCTTGTTTTCTCGGTGTATCTCGAAGCCCCACTCAAAAAAGAGACGGTGTATCAACCCACACACCTTGAAAACAAGGTATATAACTAATACATATAATGATATTATTAATTTAAAGGCAAAAAATCTACAACAGTCTTACATAATTGCAGAGAATTGTGTCATGTGCATTTTCATTTCAAACTAAATGTCATTGACATTTTTATGACGATAATGATGTAGCCTATCCTCAAAATATCTAGACATCATTCTTTATCTAGGGCAAAAGAAAGTCGACAGTTCTTTCAAACCGGCTTTCGCTATATATTTCGAAACCCAAAATTGAAAGATGCATTATGTAAGAGCTGAGAGAGAGAGAAATGGGGTTTAACGTCCACTCGACACAAACTAGGTCATTTCGGGACTAACATATGATTTAATTTTATTTAAATATTTCGCTTGCGCGTAGGGGTCTTTAGCAGTGGGAGGAAACCGGAGGACCCGGAGAAAACCCACGAGGTTGGACAGGCGACCCTACTCCTTGCCACGTACAACCGGGGATTCGAAACCACGCCAGTCGACTCAATGACAGACTTTATGATACAGCGCGCGCACGCTAACCATTCAGCCATCCAACCCCCCAATGTAAGAGCTAACTCTGCCTATAGCAAGTCTTTTTTCTAGCTCCAAACGTTACAGAAATAAATAAATAAAACAACTTCTATTAATTCCACGCTTTATTTAGATCATGTTTCAGTCCAGCAATTTGTCCTACCAGTATGGACTATTCCATTGGGAAAACAAGTTACATAATATATGGTTTATAGTATACCCCATTGAAATGCACTGATTTAGACCCAGAACAAAATGGGTTTACCGCTTTTAATTTTCATTAATAATACATAATGATGTACTCACTTCACATCCATAAGAAATTCTCAAAATTGATAGTTGAAGTAAAGCGAAGAGTAATAACTCCATTTTAGTCTCCAATAATAAATATGTCATTCAATCCATGAGTAGGTTGTAATAGTACATCAATAATATACTCGTTTCACATCCATACGCAAATCTACAAATTGATATACTTGAAATAACGCGAAGACAAAAATTTCCACTTGATCTACAATAATAAATATGTCTTAATTTGTTTCCTGTTTTAACATTTTAATTCTTATGACAAATAATAAAGAACATCCGGTCTCCTAGATCTTGTCACCGAGAGTAAAAATTTCCGTGTTACTCATCCCCATTTAAACGCCGTGATAATGTCTTATTTACGGCTACACATGGTACACTATTTTCAACACATCATCACAGTTTGCATGGACAGGCCAAGCGGAGTAGGGGGGGCTTTAGCCCCCCCCCCCCCCCAATATTTTGGCCGCAAGTACCCTTTTCTCCAGTTTGTTGCACGCAAGTAACTATTCTATTAAAAACAAAAAGGCTTGAATTTAAAGGAGCTAAATCGCTATCATTTGGGACCTAGAAATTGACAAAAGTGGGTCGCAACGCCTATAATACTGTAGTATGAATGTATATAAACTGATTTACATTCAATGGTTTCCGTTTTTACTCCAATTTCAAATCAGTTATGTTCGGCGAAATAAGCCAGCAGTCTCAAGTGAGTGCAAATTTCTAGCGCCTGGTTATTCCAGTCTACATACGCCGTTTGATTTGGTGCAATGTGTCTAGCCTCGTCCCTCGAGTCTCTTGATACAACTGGGACTGAAGCGCATTACGGTACACGATTCGTGTACCAGTGGTAAAATGTTTATTTTGTCTTAAATATTGGATATCAAAAGCCCATCTTTTTCCGGTAAGATCACAACATGAATGTTGATTTAATTTGACAAATAAATCGTGTTTTCAATGTTGAAGATTTTGGATGATATTGAGTTAGAGACTTAGCTACTTTAACATAGAAGTGGGTAGAAGTGAGACTTCTAGAACGTAGACTTTCAGGAGAAGAAACCGCAGCTATGCTCTATACTGTTCCCAGGGTTAGGGTTTGCGCTAGGCCTGTTGACATCTCGTGACATTGGCGAAATCTGCAGGTGGCCTTAATATTTAGATCTAAACTGAATATTATATGCTTTTAGGGGAGCGGCCATTTTGTCGGGCAGTTCGGTCTCATTTTCAGGAAATGTGAACTCAACCCTAATTATGGTGTAACGGTGATATATTCGAATGCCTTTTAAATCGGATAACAATTGTAACCTCTACAGGGACCACAAGCTAAAAACGCGATTTTTCGTACAATCAGGGGCTATAATCCAGAAAGTTACAATCAGATATGCGCGAATATGCGAAAGGAACCAAACATACATTTCAAGTTTCATCCAAAATGGATGAAAATTGTGACCTCTAGAGTGTCGATAAGCTAAAAATGTCATTTTTCGTACAACCAGAGGTCATAACCCATAACGTTATGGTCCAATACATGCCAATTTCAAAAGAAAACGAGATCTTTGGGTGCTAGACCTATATTTCAAGTCTCGTCAATTTCGGATAAAAAAATTTGACCTGCTATAATTGAATGTTTTTTTTACAATCAAAAAAAAAACTGTTACTTCTACAGGGTCCACGGTTCGTAAAATCAGGGGCCATAATCCAGGAAGTGACGGTCCTATATACGCCAATATCGAAAGGAACGGAGATTTTTCGGTAATAAACGTACATTGTAAGTTTCATCATGCATTATGCATATATTTCTCAAGTTCAGCATCACAGGATTAAACCACCATAGATTGTGTTTTTATGATAAAGCCCTGTTTATACAGAGTGCGACTTTTGAGCAGTTGGAACCCGAACGCGGAAAACCGTCGACGGCTTTCGTGATGGCTTGTCTTTTTCTAGCTGTGAGAGATAAATTTTGTCATTTGCCATCATGGCACAGGTGGAATCAGACACAGACGAGATCTTGGCACTGTATTTGTACATAAAACAACAAAGGGAGAGAAAGAGGCGAACATCAGAGACGAATCACATTCCTTTCGATTTCAATGATCATTTCTTCGGTCTTGTCCATTCTGCTTTTGCGGGGTTGGATGGCCGAATGGTTAGCACGCACGCGCTGTATCATGAGGCCTGTCATTCAGTCAACTGGCGTGGTTTCGAATCCTCGGTTGTACGTGACAAGGAGTAGGGTTGGCTGTCCAACCTCTTGGGTTTTCTCCGGGTCCTCCGGTTTCCTCTCACTGCTAAAGACCCCTAGGCGCAAGCGAATTATTGAAATAAAATTAAAACCATATATTAGTCCCGAAATGACCTAGTCTGTGTCGAGTGGACGTTAAACCCAATTTCTCTCTCTCTCCATTCTGCTTTTACAAGTAGACTGTGAATATTGCACACTAGTGGGAACGATCAGGCCTAGCGGTTTCTATTCGTGGAAATGATGTCATGGGAAGTGCCCGCTGATTGGTTCATTGGGAAAAACTTCTGAAAAATTCGCTCGGGAGGCAATCAAGGCGGTCGTTCGCGCAAACCAATATTTGTTCGGGTCCAGGTTCGCGCTCTGTATGAACGGAGCCCTCTAAAAATGACTAGAGCATTCCAGGACGAAAAGCGGCGTTCGCGCTCTGTATAAACCTCCTTTAAAGCAGGAATTTCATATTTTCTAAGAATGTCAAAACATAATTATTTCTATGTCTTTTGCTCAATAGGTTATCAACTCACTATTATACGACCCTGGGCATTATTTCCCACCCTTAAAAATCATTGACACAGGAAATAATAACAATTACCTCCCTTGTTTTCCTATTGCCTCCATGCATTAGCTACCCTCAAACGTTGGAATTTGAAGTTGAAAATGATATTTTTGCCAATTTCTCAGCTGGCAATATTGAATTATAGGATTAATAGGATTATTCTTTAACAAGGTAGGACGGTTTATGGATACCATCTATTTTAAGGCTTTATTTTAATAAATTTTAAAAATATAACTTAAAAATAAGAAATTGTAGCTTTAAGGGAGTTAAAAATGAAATAAAATTTCACTTCATTGCTGAGATTTTTTTGAAGCCAGAAATCGCTTAGAAAGCGTCTCCGATGATCTAGATCTCCAAGAGCTTCCGGGGCCTAGGCGGCCCCTGCTGGACCCTCGCCTAAGGATCTACGATGGTAGCCCCCCCCCCAAATCAAGAATTGCTTCCGCCGGCCCTGAATGGAAATAAGTAATTATGTTACAAATATAGTGAAGAGTGGAACGCTGAAATTTTAATCTTAACTTACCGAACAGTTTTTCTGTTTTTTCGAGGCGACGTGAAATAACGCGCGTGTTCTAATTCTGGTTTGGCGGCCATTTTAAAATGAACCGAAATTTCGCGAAAGTAGTCGGGTTTTATCAAATCATGTAATTATGCGGTAAGGTTTCACCTTTATATCAATGGCAATTGTTAAGCTATGTGCAGTACAGTTTGGGGTCAGTGTAATTGGAATTAAGTGAGTTATAGGCAAGTAACATTTTTGTAGTCAATATACAAATGACTATACAAAACTTGCTCAAAGCAGGGCCATAGACATATTGATGAAGTAATGGCCCGGGAAATCCCTCTCTGACCATTTCTGGATTGACTTCTGATACTTGAGTTTTTGAGGGAGTGTGTATATTCTTCCCGTTCAATCAAATCTATCATAAGTACAGCAACATGGCAGCCCTTCGTTTAATCTGGAGTCTTCCCTGAAACTTTGGACAGTGATTTAAGGTATTGTTCGTCTCCAAACAGTATTATTTACATTGTATCCATTTTGATAGCCTCGTTTCTCGCGCAATTACGTTTTCTGCAATATTCTAATATGCACTGGTTAATTGGGCGTAAATTTCGTAAGTATGTAAACATATGTGGTCCAATTTGGAGATCTGTTTAAAGCCTAATGAAATTGTTACGCGGTTAGCTATTGATTGTTAATCGGACTATTGGCCAGTCGTAATTTAGAACAGAAATTTGCTTCCATTAGAACAGTGTTAAGTGGGATTAGGTCTAATCAAACAAAACACTGCGAGGAGTATGGGTCATAGAACGATCCACTACATTTGGCTGGAGCAAGACGGAAAACATCAACAATGGAATCATTTCTAATAAAATGATAGTGAAGAATTTGATTTACCAAATAATGGGTTCAGTGTGATAAAGATAGTCACGCAAAGCGCGGAAATACACCCACGCAGCAGCCCTATCTTAACGGAAGCTTAATGGAAAGGAAAACTTGGATGTTGGGCAAATTTGATGACTCCGGAACGGATAGTCGTGTAATCCTATAGGATTAATTTTAGTTCTATGAACGGTGCCCTGTTTAATATATTGAAGCGGTTAAACAAATGGGTGACAACGAGAAATAGACTGAGTAGGTATTTTGCAAGATTCAAGTTTCTCAGACTTACAGACATTTTCGGCCACCATCAATTGCTGAAAGTAGGTTACTATCGCCCAGACGTCTCCGTGCACAGCTTAGTCCAAATAATGTTGACGTAAAACGGCCCCCATACGAAACACCTGCCCAAAAATGGTAATTTTCCTGCCCTAATAGCTGACACATCTATACTTTCTATACAAGGAAGGAAGAGCTGGGTTAAATTTCCCTACAGATCTCAGAAAGACGTTCCCACATTCTCCTCGGCTGAAAGGCTTGGAAACAGATCATTTAAAGATTCTAAGAGAGACATCATTCGGAGTTCCTATAGGAACATCATACCCACAGCCTCCTCAGCTTACAGACCGAGGGAGATCATCGTGTAGACTTAGAAAGAAGAGCGTGACGCCGCAAAATCCAAGCTAGGGAATAGAGAACTTATATTTAGCTTATATTTAATGTCATACCTGTGTGTGTAGTTTCCTGTATATAACCATTGTATTATGGATGTTATAAAGATATAAAAACATAGTTAACCAACAAAGTATTCCAGAGTCAATTGGTCCTTGAAGTTTTATACACAACGTGGAGGTCAGAGTTAATTCATATATTTAAAAACACCGTAGGTTCATCCTCTCGTGACCCCAATGCTTCCCACAGCAAATTCGATGACCCGGAACGGAAAGTCACAGAACGCTTAATATCGACAGGGTTCATCCTATCGTGGCCCCAATACTTCCCACCTAATTTGAAACAAATCCGGGAAGAAATTTAG